GTGACAAAGCGAGACCCTCTCTCAAAACAACCAAAACCCCAAAGATTTGATTTCAGGGACCCCATGGATCCTCTTGGGTTACTGGGGAGCATTAAGGTGTCTGTGGGTCCCCTTGCAGGCACAATCTTGTCTATATTTCATATGCTTTTTGAGGGGACAGTTTCAGGCTTCATCCGATTCTCAGGCAAATTGAAATTCAAATGAGTTTTAACAACACTGATGTAGGGTAGTGATTTCCAGTATTTTTGGATTATGGACCCCCAACAGTTGAAAATTGAGCAAACAGCTGTATGTTTATGTGTATTCCTAAAATGCAATTATGTATGACCGTATGAATATTTCAGGTATGTTGTAAGGATAACAGTACACATAAACCTGTTCTCTGTTGAAATATTTTGGGTCCATGCTCTTTGAAGAACGTTGATCAAGGTCTTACTAGGGTAACAGTCTGTTTCTGATGGAGCATGACAGACACATTTGTATTCCCTGCCTTGGTACAAGTGGAATATGGATTTGTAGATGCACTGAGAGTGAGGATCCTTTTGGGATTTTGCATTTACAAGGTTTTCAGCTGTGTTGTGCTGAGGTATCAACAATCTGTATAAGAGGGCCTATGGAAATAAGGATTTAGCAAAAAGATTCTTAATAAATTGTTAGCAGATCTGAAAATTATTTGGTACTTAGGGCTTAATACTGTTTACCGTAGAAGATAAAATGAAGCTGAATTTTAAGTTGATTGATGTTCTTTGAGGAAATGGAGAGTATTTTTAATTAAAAACAAAATCCTTACTGAATGGACACAGTCAGACCACACAGCAAGCACTAAATGGCATCGAAACCTCAATTACTGTTAAGAACTTTATGACACGAGTTAACTCTGATTTTCTCATTGTTTACTGAAATCAGTTTTTAAAAAGGCTGTATCTGATTTCATTGTATTTCTAGGGTGATAAAAGAAAATGTGGCTGAAGGTACCTGAAGTTCAGCTTGCAGTATAATTCAGAAGAGTTAAGACCAGAAGTACTGGAATCATACTTCCTTTCAGGTCAGTCCGTATCTGCTCATTATTTTCTAACAGATCCTTGAGTATTCATTTCTTCCTAGTTTTCTCTAGTCCGTTCTTCCTGATTCTGATTCTGTTGACTGTAATGAACATATATAATGGTCTCAGTGTTTTGAGTCGGTAGAATATTTATGAACAGTTTATAGCTGAAGCTGAAGCCTCTATAGGTTGGCCTGTGAAGAACATGTTTTGTAGGATACACTGGGTTTCACCGGAAACGCTGGCATCACAGCTGGTCTCTCAGCAAGGCCAGAGGGGACTGTCAGCTCTGCCTTGCCTCCTCTTTCCTCACTGGTGTAATGCATATATTGATTTGTCTTCAGGTAAAACTGGACTGAGGGGAAATGACATTTTATAGAGGTCTTGGAGTGAGGAGAGAAAAAAAAAAAGGTCTTTTTATAAAGTAAAAAAATTTCCTGTTGATTTTTAATAACCTCCAAACCTAGAATTTTAAACTGTGTTCCTTTGGAAAGTATGTAATCTTAAAAATGGCATCAGAAAATCAGATCCATTCCTCCTCTTTCTGTTTTGGAGAGGGGTCACAATTTTTCTATTCTTTTGTCACACATAAAATATTATTGAAACATTAATGCGGCATCCTAATAGATCCAGAAAGTATTGAGTGTATTTTTTTCCTAGCTCTTATCTGGTGATGATAAACATTATTTTCTCTTATTCTTGCTGCTATAAGTGGTGCTGGGGACTAGGAGTGACAGAGTTGCCTGAGAGCTTCTTGGAAATACAGGATCTCCCATGCAGGACAGAGTCCTGCAAGTCAGAAAATCCATTTTAACTGTGGAGATCAGGTCCTGTGTACTAGTGAAGGCTGTTTCTTTTCCAGGATTTGTGTGCACTTGGTTTGAGATGCGCTGATGTATTCCATAATTTTACCTTTTCAAAGTATCTGACACCTCATGCAGCACAAAAGTGTGATAGCTGTTTTGCGTACTATTCCCAGCTCCAGAAAGTTAATCTCAGGCTTTGGTTCTCCAGCCTGGGCCCCAGACCAGCAGCAGCATCCTCTGGGAGCTTCAGAATGCACAGAACCTAGAGAATAATTTTATAGTAAACTTTCAAATTGCTGTATATATATGTCTCTGAAAATCCAAATAACCAATCTCATATATGGGTAAGGAAAAGAATTTGTGTATCCATAAGCTATCTGTGGCATAGATCAAGACTGTGGCATTCTGTGGCCTTCAGGGAGAGAAGGGGAGATTTGATAAGCCTATCAAATAGATTTGTCATTGGATCTTCAGGATTTTAAAATTTTGGTTAAAAAATATGAATACTGGGCTGGGCGTGGTGGCTCACACTTGTAATCCAAGCACTTTGGAGGCCAAGATGGGCGGATCACCTGAGGTTGGGAGTACAAGACCAGCCTGACCAACATGCTAAAACCCCATCTTTAAAAAAAAAATAAAAAAATAAAAATATGAACACTGTTACTTAAACTTCTTTTCATTATATATTTTACTTCTAACTGAAAAGAAACATGTTCACTCCAGAAACATGTAAAGAAAGTAAAATTATTAAAATACCAAATAATTAATTCTCGTGATAGACATTGAATCTGCTTTTAAAGAGTTAAGAAATTGCCATTTTCATGACAGTTTTTTCCTTCAACAATCTTAATATTGAACCTTGAAATTTTTTTTTTTAGGTCTGCTGGCTGGTCAGTGATTCTAGTCCAGCATTTACTTTATGACTGAAAGCTCTTCTTTCTTTAGAAAAATCTGTGGAGATTAGGTCCTGTTTACTAATGAAGACTCTGTTTCTTTTCCAGGTCAAAACATTTTGTGGGAAAAATCCTGTTCATGACCTGGGAGAAACAAGACAGAAAACAAATCTTACCTCATTTATGAATTTCTTATGTAAGCAGTTTATGGATGTCTGGGCAATCATAACACTTTACACTTAAAAACATACTATAGGGGCACATTTTCTGTGGTTAAAAATGATCTCCTGAATAAGTGTACACTAGTTTTCCTTTTTATTGAGGGTTTTGGCTTTTTATTTGTAAATTACATTGCTAACTACTCCTTGGTCTGGTGGTCTTGCTGGTTTATGTTGGACAGTAGTATGGTAGCAATGCACAAATTCACAATAGTCAACAGATCCTTCCTTTTCAACACTCTGTGACTGGAAACCATTAGAGGATTTTCAAAAACTGGCCCTCATAGCCCAAATTTTGGTTCTCAAAATTGAGAATAAGAAAATTGGCATTGTTGGGAGAAAAGTCCTGTTTTACTGAAACATGAACTGGCTCAGGCAAACAAATAGCGGGAGTTAGCACAGGAAGGAGAGCGTGCTGCGGGGATGTCTGGTGATGTCACCTTCAAAACTAAAGTGGTTCCAGGTGGACAGATGAGTCCCTGATCATGTTTCTGATCATGTTGTGACTGAATTATGAACCTTCATTGTCTTCACAATCTTGCACCTTACCTAGTGAGGCTTTTCGGAACTTGGAGGGAGACATCTAGAAATCCCAGTTTTGCTGTGTAAGGACCATTAGCTGCAAGTCAATGGAAGTCAAAAGAAAGCAGTGTAAATTCCAAAGGGGTCTTGACTTAGCGAGGATATGGGGTAAGTCTAAAACTTTATAGACTTAAGGCTATGAAACATGTTAACTGCATGAAATAGTAAACATTTCAAACTCTTTAGCCTTTGTCATTTCGTGACCCAGGTTTTTCACAGTCTGTTGTGTCTCCTGCCTTCCTTGTTTTGCTTATCCTCCTCCTTGAGCTTCTCCACTCCATTTTTATTCTGGGCATCCAATCCAGCCTTTCACAGTGTGTGCTTTATCAGTCCCTGGTTCACATGCTGAGTACCTTATAAGCCTTGCCAGCAGTAGTATATTCACAGTAAGTCTGCTTTGTGTGTTCGTGTGTGGTGGGGGGACCTTACTTTCAAAGCTACCTTACTTTGTATTCAATATAATGGATACAAAGCGGAACTCAGGAAGTAGCACCTGAGCTTCAAATTGACTTTCCTAATGATTCTACTAAATAAGATTCTCCACATTTAATACCCAAGATAGGATTGACTTGATAGTGTATAAAAGTGGAATAGTTTCCTATTTCTGGACTGAAACCAAACTCCTCATATCTAATTGTAGTTATTCAACATCAGAGTCCCTCTTTTTGGCAGAACAGACAAAAGAATGTGTAGTGTACTTTTTACTACAGCCATTACGGCAGACTAGTTCTGAGTGCTGTTGCTAGTAAATTATTGAACAGCCCAATTATGTTGTCCTTACACAGCAGACACTGGAAAGGAGTAATGGCAGAGGACATGACTGAGTCTGGCTACAGCCATGCATCCCATCTGTGGTGAGCTTAGTCTCGAGATTGCCTGTATCCTAGGCCATGAACTGAATCATGTACTGTATCTACTTCATAGCCTTCCAGGGGAAAGATTAGGAGATCTGGACATGTCTAGGCCTATGTCCTCTGTCACATAAGCTGTGCTGCATACACTTTAACTACACGAGGTTCCTTTGGGCCTTGACCTGTAGTTCTAAACATTATCTATAAACCTTTGGTAAGGTGCTGCCTGAGAACTGCTTTGTTTTCCAGAGGGATCATTGCTTAGGCTTTTTTCACCCCAAAATAATTTTGAACTATGTGCCGATTCCTATTTGGTTTGTGGCTTAGGCAGCCCTGCCTTCCTGATCAATAGCAGGTCACCTTCTTTCTCACAGTTCCTGAGGCTGTTCATTCACATCTGTAGTTGAACTTCTACTGTCTCCTTTATTGCTCCTGACCTGCACTACTGCTGACTCACAGCTCCTTTGTCCCCCAGAAAGCTATGAAACCAGATATACTACATGATTCAATTTAGTTGAAAAAGTCCAATCTCAGCCCTCACTTAGCTAAAAAATTGCAAATATCAACCATATTTTAAAGTTTTGAAACTTGAGATCTAAAAGGAAACAGACCAACGTCATAATGTTTTATTGACAAAACCATAGGAAAAGGCAGTTTTAGGATGTAAAGTAAAAATGGTGCTCTGAAATATCTATACAAATATGAATTCTGAAAAGTTTTCATTAAAATCGTATTTTATACAATTAGAAACTAATGAGGAACAAAACAATTTTCAACTTCTCCATAACCCAGACTGAGCTTGATTTATGCTTGCCAGATATTATTTAAGAGGCTATGAGTTCAACCTGTGGGTAATCTACAGAAGCAGGAACTCTTCCAAGATAGGGTGGCGGCTCCCACACAGCTGATAGGTAATAGGCTTGGCTGATACCTAAGTCCCATCTTCCCAGTTGATACTCAAAACAAAGGTACAAGATGTGGCTTTAAAAAAAGGTACAGATTCCAAGAACAAAGTTAAAAGCTCATTGTTTTGTTTTTGTTTTTGAGACAGGATTTCATTCTGTCACCTAGGCTGGAGTGCAGTGGCCTTTCACGGTTCACTGCAGCCTTGGCCTCCCAGCTCAAGCAATCCTTTCACCTCAGCTTCCTGAAAAGCTGGGACTATGGGTGTGTGCCACCCGTGTTACCCAGGCTGGTCTTGAACTCTTGTGCTTAAGCGGTCCTCCAGCTTCAGCCTTCAAAGCACTGGGATTATAGGTGTGAGCCACGACACCCGGCCAAAAGTTTACATTTAATATTATTTCATGCCTCGTAGTGTACTGATTTATATTCTTGCTAAATCTTAGACTTGTTACCCTTTGAAAAGATAAGTGACTACAGCACATTTATAGAGCGACTGCCGTCTCCACTTTTTGTGCTTGGGGAATGTGTCTACTAGAAAAAGATCAGGACTCCCAACCCCTTCAAGGGCAACAAACCCACACTTTATTCCGTGCTTGGGTAACTTGACTATAACATGGCTCCCTTGCTGTAAGCAAATGCTTCATAGTTGAATTTTTTACTTTTTTTTAAACACAGAAGTTCACCAGGGCTAACAAAAAATTTCAAGTTAATAAGTCTTGCTGGGCACAGTGGCTCACACCTGTAATCCCAGCACTTTGGAGGCTGAGGTGGTTGGATCACCTGAGGCCAGGAGTTTGAGACCAGCTTGCCCAACATGGAGAAACCCCGTCTCTACTAAAAATAAAAAATTAGCTGGGCATGCCTGTAATCCTAGCTACTTGGGGGGCAGAGGTTGCGGTGAGCTGAGGTTGTGCCATTGCACTCCAGCCTGGGCCACAAGAGTGAAACTCTATCTCCAAAAAAAAAAAGAAAAAGTCTTTAATTTTCTTAAATAATCCTCATATGTACTATCCACATTGTGGAAAAACTGAAATATGCAGTCTGGACACTGCACTGAGATTCCAGCACCCTGGCACAGACACAGCTATGTTGCATCTTACGGACTATGACAGACAACAGGCTTGATTGCAAGAGGTTTAGACAAAACTTTACATAGATGTGCTGGAATTCCAAACTGCTGTCAAAGAGATACAGGAATCGGTCTGCAGAGAACTCCACCCAATCCCTGCTGTTTGGTCACTGCAGCTGCACTCTATATGCACCTATTAGCAACTTAACCTGTTGAAAGAAAAGAATGCAGGTGTCAGTACAGATCCAGATTTACCCTTACAAGAAAAACCACACATAGCTGAGGTTTGCTTCTATTATTTGGCAATATTTTCAAGTTGCTTATCATCAATTTACACTGTTAGATCACTGCCATTTTAATTCAAGAAATAATTCCAAGTGCTTATAATTTTATATTACTGTTTTATTAGACAGACTATTTTGTCCAGCTTCCTTTCACACAAGAGAGATTAGGGACCGCCCTAAAGATAACACATTTGGCAATTCCATACGAAGGCCTAGAACATGATTCAGACGGCTGCATCCTCTAGAGGGCGTTCTTCTCAGCTGCAGCCTGGTCCTTTTCCTGCCACATTATCATGTCTAACACAGTGTAGACCGAGGGAGTGCACCTAGAATCACTACTCAAGGAAGTGCCTGTCTCTAGGACAGACACACCAGGATTCTTGGAATTCTTTTCTAATGATGACACAGTAATCTGGAGTAACAACTTGAGTAGTGACACTAAATATGAAGAAAGGATGTTCACCTTGGCAGAGGGTGCTTCCGTCAACCTTATGAAGAGTTTATTGGGACCTGCAATAGGGCTGAATGAGTAAACAAAATGACTGTCCTACAATGGAAAGAAAAAAAAAATCAGTGTTTTTTCACACAGACTTACACCAGAAGCCTTTAAAACATCAATGGTGTAAAAGAATCATAAATAAGTTTTATTTATTTTTATTATTTATTGTTTTTGAGACGGAATCTCTGTTGCCCAGGCTGGAGGCCGTGGTATGATCTTGGCTCACTGAAGCCTCTGCCTCCTAGGTTCCAGTGATTCTCCTGCCTCAGCCTCCTGGGTAGAGATTATAGGTGCCTGCCAAATGCCCGGCTAATTTTTGTATCTTTAGCGGAGACGGGGTTTCACCATGTTGGCCAAGCTGGTGTCGAACTCCTGACCTCAGGTGATCTGCCCATTTGGGCCACCCAAAGTGCTTATTTTTAATTCATAAGTCAGTATGTTGTGGAGACCAAGGCGGCAGATCGCTTGAGCCCAGAAGTTTAAGACCAGCCTGGCCAACATGGTGAAACCCTGTCTCTACAAAAAAATACAAAAAAATTAGCTGGGCGTGGTGGCATGTCTGTAGTCCCAGGTAGTTGGGAGGCTGAAGCAGGAGGATTGCTTGTGCCTGGGAGGTCGAGGCTGCAGTGAGCTGTGATCCATGCCACTGCACTCCAGCCTGGACAACATTAAGCAAGAGCCTGTCTCGGGGGAAAAAAAAAAGTCATTTATTTTTCCCTTGATTAAAAATATACAAATGACAAAATTAATCCAGGAAACTGGATTAAAAAGGACCCAGTCATATACAGTACAGTGTTAAAGTGACTATATCCAGCTAATTTTGCTTAATTGAGTCCAAGGAAAGAATTCTAAAAATGGCCAAGTAGTTATATACAAAGAATCTTTGAGATCATGAAGAATTTATATTCAGAACAATGATGGTCCAAAGACAGTACAGTAAGCATAATTTAAGGCAAAAAATAAACAGGAAAAATTCCTACTGATAAAATTTAGGATAATCTTACTTTATGGGTAATATTAGCTGGGTCATTTCTGAACAATTAGATTTTATTAAGACACAAAAAATTTAAAATTAAATCAACTACTATTAATTGGGCCATTTTTTATGAACAATTATATTTTATTAAAACACAAAAATTTAAAGTTAAGTCATCTGTGCTTTTGATTGGAAGAATGTACATTTCAGTAGTGAAATAGAGTACCTTACCAGAAAAACAGGAAGTTGAAATTTATCATTCAGAACTACAGCTTGTACACTGCATGGTCCACAGAGCCGCGCAATAACTTCTTTACCCAAAAAGTTTGCATGGAAGATAAACAGCAGGATGCCAGAGCCTGAACACACGGGAGATGTGTGTGAATTACTCCAAATGCAACCTTGAGCCCCCAGAGAGAGGAACACACACGCCAGATGGAAGTGGGCCCCTGAGCTGGGCCTGGTCAGACAAGCATCACCCACTCCAGCTGGAGGCTCAGAGGAGGATGGCCGCCTCAAAGCTTGTGTCACCTGGCATTTTTTAACCCACAGAACCCTTTTTACTTTTTGCCCAAGTAACCTCTACTGACAGTTCATGGAAAAGACTTAAGTATGATTTTCTACGCTGAAATTACTAAACTGGTATTTAAAGGTTCCTGATGAATGAGCACACGTCCCAGGGACATTCCAGTGGTGGGCATCTTTGGGTGTGGGTCTGAGTGGTTTTCCATTTTCTTCCACATAGTCTTTGTTCCCTTCCAAATTTTCTGATTAAGACATACCAAAAATTGGCCAGGCATGGTGGCTCACACCTGTAATCCTAGCACTTTGGGAGGCTGAGGCAGGTGGATCACCTGAGGTCAGGAATTTAAGACCAGCCTGACCAACATGGAGAAACCCTGTCTCTATTAAAAATACAAAATTAGCCAGGTGTGGTGGCACATGCCTGAGATCCCAGTTACTCAGGAGACTGAGGCAGGGGAATCGGTTGAACCCGGGAGGTGGAGGTTGCAGTGAGCCAACTTCGCACCACTACACTCCAGCCTGGGGAACAGAGTGAGACTCCATCTCAATCAATCAATAATGGTTGATGCAGACCTTGTGCACATGCTGAAAAAACTCTGCAGGCCCAGCAGCTGTGGATGTCAGTGGGTGCTCAGGTTCACCAGGGCCAGCCCAGGCCATCGCTATCTGGTGCCCACACCTGGCAATGCAGATGCTCCACATGAATGAACAAAAGTGTACATTATTGGCTGAGCATGGTGACTCATGCCTGTAATCTCAGCACTTTGGGAGGCTGAGGCAGGCGGATCACTTGAGGTCTGGAGTTTGAGTCCAGCCTGGCCAACATAGCCCCATCTCTACTAAAACTACAAAAATTTGTTGGGTGTGGCAGCAGGTGCCTGTAGTCCCAGCCACTCTGGAAGATGAGGCAGAAGAATCACTTGAACCCAGAAGGCAGAGGTTGCAGTTAGCTGAGACTGTGCCACTGCACGCCAGTCTAGGTGACAGAGGGAGACTTCCTCTCAAAAACAAAAGAAAAAAACAACTATAAATTATGATTCCACAACGTCAGGTTCTCTCAACACTAAGGTATTACAGGCTCTTACACTAATGGCTCTTTCAGGGTCATGGCTATGTCTCTTCAATACATTTTCCAGGAATGAGACCATTTACAAAACGGGTAACAAGGGTTTCTAAGCAAAAAAAGATTAGAGTCCAGCTTCCTGCCCTTGGCAGACAGTGCTGCCTCCACATCTACCTAGCACTGTGTCTAGGGAGGGCCAGCCACAGTCCTGCCTGGAGAGCAGCTGTCGGGCAGAGGCTAGAGAGGGAAGTGGCATTTCCATCTCTTTCCACTGAGTTTTTCTACGGCCAAGACTATTACAAACAAAATTCAGGGAAAAAACATTCTAGGCTTAGAATCTTGAAGCTGACCTTAATAAAATGGAAAATGTATTTAAGAAACATATAAAGAGCCATCTGTAATACCTTAGTGTTGAGAGAACTTGACGTTGTGGAATCATAATTTATAGTTGTTTTTTTTTTTTTGAGAGGGAGTCTCCTTCTGTCACCTAGACTGGCATGCAGTGGCACAATCTCAGCTAACTGCAACCTCTGCCGTCTGGGTTTAAGTGATTCTTCTGCCTCATCTTCCAGAGTGGCTGGGACTATAGGCACCTGCTGCCACACCCCACTAATTTTTGTAGTTTTAGTAGAGATGGGGCTATGTTGGCCAGGCTGGACTCAAACTCCAGACCTTCATAAAACTCGTTAGGAACTAGTGTCATTATTAAGACCCAAATTCCAAGCTCAAAATGGGTGTTAAAACAGGGAAGGGGGTGTCAGCTGGGTCTCTCTTTCACCAGAGCAGCTTGGCTGTTAACTGGTCTGCAGAATTATTACACATAATGGAATTTCCTCAAAGAAAAGATTCTGTCTAAAGGTCTGTTAATATAGTGTCACACTTCACATAGAAAAGTGTGAAGAGGCATAGGCTTACCTTCTGGCATATTCTGTGGGGGTTTGTAATTAAAATCTGTTGAAAAATCTGGCCCCTCACAGAGTCGATGACATGCAATTGGAAAAACTGGTTCTAGCAGAGCAAGGCGAGCTTCAAAGTAATCCTTTATTGTCTCTTCTGCTACTCTGGAAAGTCTAAGAAAAACAAATAGTAGGCATTGCTAACATTAATGTAGAAAAGAACCACAAGCCTGTCAAATATCAGTGAGGCCTTCTCAGGCCAACCTTCCAAAAAAGAGCTGCAGCTCTGTTTGCCTCCACTTTCCAGCTCTACCTCCATCCAGCACCGGACACCCGTGTATCTGTCTTGTCCATCTCAGTGGAAGTGAAGTCTCTTCCCCTCACTGCCATTTCCATCTCCCTGGCCTTTAGAACAGTGCTTGGCACAAGTCTATGTGTAATACATAGTTGTCTAATGAATCAGTGGAAAATCAGAAATGGGAACCCCTCAGTCCTGGGCAATTCAGGAAAGTGGGTCACTCTACTTGCTGGATCTCTGCAAACACCCCATGTGAACAGGGGAGTCAGGACTCTAGCCATCAGCAGCACTGAGTGAGACCGGCATGGTCCCAGAGGCCCACTGCTACATAAACACCCACCCTGAGTTTGCTACTGTCTGTGAGAGTTTCTGATACATGTTGCTGAAAGAGTTAAAGTGATAGAATACTAAACTGTTATAAGTATGAACTTACAATCAAATAAAATGTGATTTAGAATTTATTTGAAAAAGAATGAACTGAATAAACTGGTAAATCCTGACAACTGACAACAGAATATTAATCAGAAATGCACTATTAAGACATGGAAGGAATCTCAGATTCCTTCCATTCCTTCTCATGCCTATTCCTAAATGAAAAAGGCCAATCTGAAAAGGCCAAATAATGTGTGATTCCAACTGTTCTGGGTAGGGCAAAATATGAAGACAGTAAAATTACTGGTGGTTGTCAGGGGTGAGGGGGGAGGGAAGGATGAAGAGGTAGAAAACACAGGCTTTTTAAGGCAGTGAAACTATTCTGTATGACACTGTGATGAGAGATGGATGTCATTATGTATTTGTCCAAATCCAGACAATTTGTAATACCACGAGTGAGCCCTAATGTCAGTGCTGCGCTCCGGGTGATTATGAGGTGTCCCTGTAGGCACATTGGCTGTAGTCATGTACCACTGTGGGTTGACTGGGATCTCAACAGCAGGGGAGGATGTTGTGGGGGAGGCTTGGAAATATGTACCTTCCATTTAACTTTGCTGTGCTTAAAACTGTTGCAAGAAATAAAGTCTATTAAAAAGAAAGACAAAAGTTTAAAGTTTTTTTTTTTTTCTTTTTTGAGATGGAGTCTCACTCTGTCACCCAGGCTGGAGTGCAGTAGCACCATTTTGGCGCACTGCAACCTCCGCTGCCTGGGTTCAAGCGATTCTCCTGCTTCAGCCTCCTGAGTTGATGGGATTACAGGCACTCACCACCATGCCTGGCTAATTTTTTTTTCTAATAGAGATGGGGTTTCATCATGTTGGCTGGGCTGGTTTCAAACTCCTGACCTCAAGTGACCCACCCACCTTAGCCTCCCAATGCACTACAATTACAAGCATGAGCCACTGTGCCCAGCCAAGTTTAAATGTTTTTAAGAAAATGTTTGCTAACCAAATTAAGAGTATACTTAACATTTAAGAAAAATACTCCCAGATAGGCCAATGTTAACTTGGAAATTTTTTGAGACTTAGCTGGGCGCAGTTGCTCATACCTGTAATCCCAGCACTCTGGGAGGCCATTGTGGGTGGATCATGAGGTCAGGAGTTTGAGACCAGCCTGGCCAACATGGCAAAACCCCATCTCTACTAATACAAAATTTAGCCAGGTGTGGTGGCAGGCACCTGTAATCCCAGCTACTCTGGAGGCTGAGGCAGGAGAATCAGTTGAACCCAGGAGGTGGAGGTTGCAGTGAGCCGAGATTGTGCCACTGCATTCCAGCCTGGGTGACGAGCAAGGCTCCATCTCAAAAAAAGAATTTTTCCGAGAAATAACTTGCAGAGAAATAATTCATGTGCCATTTATTAAATCTGTGATCTACTGGAAACAAAACCACCAGGACTTGTGCTGGATGTTTTTCTGAGCAATTACACACAGGCCACTCCAATTACAATGTGTCTACATAAACAGGTGTAGGCTACGGGACTTAACCATGGCACAGTCCTTCCCACTTACGTCTCTAAATGGCTCTTCAGCAAGTCGTACACAAGCACATTGTTAGACTGCTTTGCAAAGTGCAGGGCACTGTTTTGGTGCTTTGACAAAATGTTGCAGTCAGCTCCACATTCAATTACGAGTCGTACAATGTCTGAATTTCCTCTTTTACAGGCCTAGGTCAGGAAAAAGGAGTAACAATTACTTAGCTGTAAACTGTGGTAACACTACCCACAGCTGCTGGTCCTGTCTCCATGCATGCCTGGGGGTTCTCTGGGAAGAGAGGGCACAGGGCAGGGAAGAGGGGAGAGAATTCATGGGGCCCGTCAGGCCATGGCATTAGGAGTCACAAAGCATTGTTTAAATACAAGTGGGGAATATCTTTGACTCAGGGGCCAACACAGAAATCTGTGTGCTACATTCAGTCAATTTCTTCACTGAATTTTCAGGAAATGGGCAACTTCAAAAAGGATGCTTCAGTCCCAAGACAGAAGAGACATCATGCCTTGCTAAACAGTCCCCTGCTGTCCTCTGTCCATGCCATGCTGTCCCCTGTGAGCCAGCCCCTCAGCAGAGGCACAGAGATATGCAAGCCTGGCCCTCACTATAGAGAGCTTTTTCTCCAGAATCTCAAAAGCACCTCTCATAACCTCAAAATGTCCCCAGCTGCTACTGTAAAGGAGACATCCAAGCACAGATATGAATCTGAATTTGCAAATCTGTGATGGAGCTGTGGCACAGTCGACAGTTTGTCTCTGCCACTTACTAGCCACGTGACTTCAGATAAGTCCTTTAATTCTTCTGAGGCTCATGTTTCCATCTGTGAAAGGAGATACGGGTCCCTGTGCCTCCCTACCCTGTGAGGCAGATGCTGGGAGAGTGAGAGGCCCCTCTGGGACCCACAGAGCCCACAGCGACGGGCGAGGGCAGACCCTCTGCACCTGCCCGCTCTGGTAAGAACCAATGTTAGACACTTCCTCCTCAGGTGAAAAGGTTTTTATTTTAATTTGTGAAAATTACTATGTTTACATCTCATTCTAAAACTCAAAAAAACTTAAACATGCTAAATCCTGAAAGCAATTAAAATACAGCTTTTCAGGAACAAATACTTAAATAAACTTCACGGCAGATAAAGGCAGTCTATGGAATTCAGATCCAGTGAAGTAAGTGCTACGTGTCCTCTCAGGGAAGAAATGCCACGCCCTCCCCAACCCACCTTCAGAGCCATCTCCTCTCTGCACCTCACTACCCAACTCAACACCATACCTCAGCAAGGCAGGCAGCCCTGAGGAGCTGACCCAGGTGCCTGCTGTGCCGGGGGAGGCACTGCCTGTGGAGGAGCACTTCCGCCCTGTGGCTCTCACATGCTCTCCTCCTTCTCCTCCTTCTCCTCCTCCTCCTCCTCCGCTTCTCCCCATGCAGTCTTCTTCCATCTATGGCCCTTTTCTCCTTTCCAATTCCCCATGGATGACCCCACTCTCAACCTACGGCTACAGTCAGTGTTGCAGAGCTGAATGGCAACAAACCCAAATCTCCAGTCTGCACCTCTCTCCTGAGCCCAGAATCCCCAGTGAAATGTGCAGAGGTGACACATAAACAACGCAATGCCCAACTCCCCCCATCTGTGTCACCTGTGCCCCAATTAGGAAATGGAATGCCTAGGCGTCACCTCCAGTTATCAAGCTCCGTGAACTCACGTGCTCCATCCCTTTTGCCACTACCGAGATACGGACTTAATATTTCACGTGACCTGGAGACCCTCTGGCCAAATCTGCAAACTATCTTCCTCCCAATCTATGCCTCTTCTGTACTGAGAAGCATTAAAACAAACAAATGAGAACCCTCTAATCCGATTCTACCCTTCTCCAGCTTCAGCCTTGCTGTGGCTCCCCAGTACCCTCAGACTTGGCCCACAGGGGATCTGTGCCCACCCACCTCTCTCATGCTCTAGACACATCTGCATGGCTGCAGTTCAGGGTGGACCTGGCCATCTGTCACCAAGATGATGCTTTGAGAGGCCACCTTGGCTCCGCATACACCACCCACAGAAACAAATGAAGGGAAACAAAAGACAAATGTCAGGCTCCTGAACAAAATGAACATTCCCATGCACCAAAAGGCAAGTGCTTGAGGCCAGGAGCTCAAGACCAGCCTGGGCAACACAGTGATATCTTGCCTGTAATAAGAAAAAAAAAATGGCTGGGCTTGGTGTCATGCACTTGGGAGGCTGAGGTAAGAGACACTTGAGCTTGGGAAGTTGAGGCTTCAGTGAGTCATGATGGTGCCACTGCACTCCAGCCTGGGCGGCAGAGGAGACTGTTTATGGGCCTTGTGCAGCACGAGGCCAAGGGACAGGTGGTCTGGGCCTTCAAAATAGGGTTCACAGTGGGATTCGATGCCAGGTGTCATGCAGACCGGGACTTGGCTATACTCTTTTGCTTATTGGGGCCAGAGGCTGGAATGGACACTGTGGGCAGGCCCCTGCTTGGCTCAATGGCTTACACAGAGCCAAGCATCCCAGGGACGTAAGAGGACAGGTGCCCATGGGGAGCTGAGCCGGCTACCCCTGGCTGGGTGTCTGGACCTGCTATATCCTAACAGCACCTTGGGCCAGGAACCCACAACTGCCGCAGAGGAACCAACCAAACTGGGCAGGGCCCCCTGAGACAAATGCCAAACTGCTGACCTTCCTCTCAAAACCTGTCTGGGAACCACATTCCAGAACACAGGAGCAAGCCCAAGGTGACAAATTCACCAAAATAAAATGATGAACACACAAAGCACACGAGGAGCTCTGTCCCACCCTCAGCCTGGCTTTGAGGCCAGCAGCCTCCCCGCTGTTCCAGCTGTGGCTGGAGTGCTCCCTCCCTGCTGACTTGACTGCCATTTAGGACATAGTATGGCACTGGCCTCATCCACCCTAAGGACTTCCAATGTCCCCAGGGCCCAGCTTGGAACACTTCCCTGTGACCTCATGGCCCTGTGCCTGTTCCAATCATACCACTGAGCATATGAGCTCTCACTGCTGCCCTGCTGGCCCGTTTCTCCTCCTCCCATGTAAGCGGCTGGACTCCAGGACTGTCTTCGTACCCACTCGGTTTTCAGTCCCCAGCACTGTGCCTGAAAGTGGCAGGTGCCAACACGAGCACCAGCCAAGGTACTGAAGAAAGGGACAACCCACAGGAGGGATTTACCTTCATCAGCGCGGTCTCACCATTGCTTTGCTGGACATTTACAAAAGCTCCTGCTTCCAAAAGAATAGCCACTGTAGTTAAAAAGTTCTATTAAAAGAAAAAAAAAGCAAATTTAATCCCCCAAATTACTTAAAAGACAGTTTTCAGATATTTTGAAAGTTTTAGTCATCAGGAAAAATACCCAGCAGGTTCTATTGCAAGTGGCTGTGGGCCACAGCATTTCTGTGGGGCCACAGGGGTAAGCCCTGTCCCACAGATGCCTACGCTTGGCCACTCACTGTGCTGCCAGCAACAACCACTACCTGAGTGGAACCACTGGCTCCAACCTAACAGCCTCTGCATATAAATTCTTTAAACAGATGTAAATCCTTTAATGAGGTGCAGTGGCTCACGCCTGTAATCCCAGCCAGCACTTTGGGAGGCTGAGGTGGGCAGATCATGAAGTCAAGATATTGAGACCATCCTCGCCAACATGGTGAAATGCCATCTCTACTAAAAATACGAAAATTAGCTGGGCGAGGTGGTGCGCGCCTATAGTGCCAGCTACTTAGGAGGCTAAGGCAGGAGTATCACTTGAATCCAGGAGGCAGAGGATGCAGTGAGCTGAGATCGTGCCACTGCACTCCAGCCTGGCAACAGAGCTAGACTCTGTCTCAAAAAAAAAAAAAAAAAAAAAAAAAAAGATATTGGGAGGCGGAGGCGGAGGCGGAGGCGGAGGCAGAGGCGGGTGGATCACCTGAAGTCAGGAGTTTGAGACCAGCCTGGCCAACATGATGAAACCCATCTCTTCTAAAAATACAAAAATTAGCCAGGCGTGGTGGCACACGTCTGTAGTACCAGCTACTGGGGAGGCTGACGCAGGAGAATCTCCTGAACCCAGGAGGCAGAGATTGCTGAGATCACACCACTGCACTCCAACCTGGGCGACAAAAAAAAAAGAAAAAGATGATATATGGGAACATTTCAATTAAATTATTAACCAAGAGGAATACAAATACAGTTGGAAAAAAATTTTAAATTATCTAGGATTAAAATTAATATTAGCACTTTAATCAGAGTACTTTAATATAAATTATCTCCAATGAGATAAATCACATTTTGAAATGTGATTACAATACACTATTGATCATTCATTACATGTCACAGATCAACTGAAGCATGAAATTAAAAAGTTACCCTGGCTGGGCACGGTGGCTCATGCCTGTGATCCCAGCACTTTAACCGAGGCAGGAGGATCAGTTGAGCCCAGGTCGGGCAACACAGTGACACTACAATTTTTTTTTTTTTTTTTTGAGATGGAGTCTTGCTCCACTGCCAGGCTGGAGTGCAGTGGCGTCATCTTGGCTCACTGCAACCTCTGCCTTCCCAGGTTCAAGTCTCCTGCCTCAGCCTCCCAAGTAGCTGGGACTACAGGCATGTGCCACCACGCCCAGCTAATTTTTGTATTTTTAGAAGAGACAGGGTTTCACCATGTTGGCCAGGATGGTCTTGATCTCTTGACCTCGTGATCTGCCTGCCTTGGCCTCCCAAAGTGCTGGGATTACAGGCGTGAGCCACCGCACCTAGCCTCTAAAAAAATTTTAAAAATTGGCCAGGTGTGGTGGCACATGCTTAGTCCCAGCTAGTTGGGAGGCTGAGGCAAGAGGACTGCTTGGGTTCATGGAGTTTGAAGCTGCAGTGAGTTATGATGGCGCACTGCACCCCAGCCTGCGCTACAGAGACCTTATTTCTAAAAGTAAATTTTTAAAAAGCTATGTGGCTGCGTAACTGCTGTATTTCACTACCAAAGAGATCCTCTCAGGCCGTCGGCAGAAATACCATGAAGGCTCTGAAATGGATGCATGAGAAGCCACGAACCTTCTCTGCAGCATGAATGAGGGCGGTGGTCCCGTTCTTCTGCCGACCGTTCACTTTCGCGCCTTTCGTGATGAGGAGTCGCAGGAGGTCGTCTTGCCCTCCTGCAGCGGCAAGCATCACCAGTGTCATCCCGCTGGAATCCTGTGTTGGTTTTGTTAAGTAAAAAACTTGTTAATCTTTAGTCAGAACAATTTCAGAACCAAGTCTCTTCACTTGAGTTGTTTCAATGTGAAATCACTAATGGGCACTGATTTAAGCATCTACTTAGAATTTTCGCTAAAATATCCCTACCATCAGAAACTAGTAGCTTTTAGAATATTTTTTCACATGTAAACGCTTGTATAAAATGCAGCTTTCCTCTACAGGCCCACCTCGTTCCATTGAGCTTTGCTTTACTGCACTTCACAGGGACTTTGCTTTTCACAAATTGAAGGTTTGTGGCAAACCTGCCACAAGCAAGTTTACTCACACCATTACTCCCACGGCATGTGCTCATTTTGTGTTGTTGTGTCAGCATTCTTTAGCAATAGAGTATTTATAAATTAAGATGTATAGTTGTTTTTTTTTTAAAAGATGTAATGCTCTTCACACTTAGACTATAGTATAATGTAAAGCTAACTTTTATATGCACCAGGAAACCAAAAATTTGTGTGACTCACTTTATTGCAACAGTCTGGAACCAAACTCACAATATCTCCAAGGAATGCTTGAATTTTTTTTGTTGGTGTTGTTTTTCCTTCTTCCTTTTTTATTGAGACAGGATATTGCTATGTTGCCCAGGCTGGTCTCAAACTCCTGGGCTTAAGCACTCCTCCTGCCTCAGCCTTGGGTAGCTGGGATTACAGGTGCGTACCACCAAGCCCAGCTCTCATTTTTGTATCTTTTTTGTTTGTTTTTATTTTGTGTATTAAATCCTAAAGGCACATAAAATGTTTGTACCATATAAAATGAAGTGAATTTCTGGGTGGCATATGATCAAATTTTCTACCTAAAAAATCCAAAAGAAGTAACTTGAAAACTATCAGAGTAAGAGAATTTCGTTAAATGACTGGAGACACACACATGGATGTATACAAAGACATTCATAGCTTTACCTTCGGCAAGCAATAACCAGTTAGGAAACAAAATGTAAATGAAAAAAGACTCTAATGACCATAATATTATAAAACATATAGGCAGACATCTATAAGAAAAGTACAATGTCTATATGAATGAAAAAACCCACAGAACTTTGCTTAAGGGTATAAATGAAGAGCTGAGTGAAAGTAGAATTACTATGTTCCTAGATAGAAGAGATGCAAAATGCAAATAAAAATGTCAATTCTCTGTTAATCTATATATTTCATGCCATTTTAATCAAAATCCCATTAATTTTTTGAATTGTTATCCCAAAGGATGAAACCTAAAAATCCACAGCTAAGCTAAAATATGAAAGAAAAAAATATAAAGATATTTTCTAAGCAAGACAAGATAACCAAAAGCCGTAAATGTAAAAGATTGACAGATATGATTGCCTAAAAATGAAAATCTTCAAGCAATACAAGACTCAAACACAAAACCTAAAATCTAAGGAGAAAGGGTCAATATGCTTCAATTAAAAAATCGTATGTATCAGTAAGAAAAATCCCCAGCTACCACAGAGAGATGGACAGTTGTTGTAAACAGGGCAACCATCAAAGAAACACAAATGGCCACAGGAAAATGGTCTTGTTCTATACTCTCAAAGTGCTAAAGGGTAACCCATCTACAAAACAGGTAGACCATAACCAAACCAAACCATCACTTTTAAGGGGGAGGGGGTTGGAATTAAAGGGACTATAACTGTATATTTAGAGGGTTCTATAATGTTTTAATTTTACAAAGTGAAAGTGCATCACCTTTTTTTTTTGAGACAGAGTCTTGCTCTGTCACCCAGGCTGGAGCGCAGCAGCTCGATCTTGGCTTACCACAGCCTTGACCTCCCAGGCTCAGGTGATCCTCCCACCTCAGCCACCCAAGTAGCTGGGAATACAGATATACACCACCAGGTCCAGGTAATTTTTTGTAGAGTTGGGGTTTCACCATGGAGCCCAAGCAGGTCTCAAATTCCTAGGTTCAAGCAATCCTCCTGCCTTGGCCTCCCAAAGTGCTGAGATTACAGGTGTGTGTCACCACGCCCAGCTTTTTTGTAATTAAAATAAATGAAAACTTAAATTGAATTCTTTCAAGATTTACTTTCCATTTTCCTTTCATGAGATTTTTAAAAGACATATTACCTCTTGGTCCAGGTTATATTCTTCATTTGAATTAAGGGCAACTTTTACAGTAATATAATCCCCATTTTTCACGGCATCCCTTAACACATCTAAAATGAAAGAAAAGTTAAGTTAGCTTTTATATATCTAGATTTGTGAAAGGGATTTCAATATTTCCAAAACTACTCACTACTTGGAATTCCATCTGCTGCAGCAAAATTCTCATCATCCCCATCAAGGTGCTTTTGGAAATCTTCTAACTTCATCCATTCCAACTGAAGGTCCATACCCAAACTCAGAATCTGCTGCCTGCCATCTGGAACACACAAAGGCCTTGTTAACATACATTTATTTGAAGTCTAAAAAACCCACAATGTTGTTTATTAAATTTGTGGTGTCTTAACCAAAGCTTTATGTATACTTTTAACGTAAATCATTGTATAATGGGTCTTTTAATTGATAAAATCCCCAATTTTCTTTGGGAAGTAATATGACCTACCCACATTTAGAAGCCATGGTGCTGTGAAGGCTTAAAGATAAATAGGTGGCTGGGTGCAGTGGCTCACGCCTGTAATCCCAGTACTTTGGGAGGCTTAGGTGGGTGGATCACGGGGTCAGAGATTGAGATCATTCTAGCTAACACAGTGAAACCCCGTCTCTATTAAAAATACAAAAAATTAGCTGGGTGTGGTGGCACGCGCCTGTAATCGCAGCTCCTCGGGAGGCTGAGGCAGGAGAATCACTTGAATCCGGGAGGCAGAGGTTGCAGTGAGCTGAGATCACATCACCACACTGCCTGGGTGACAGAGCAAGACTCTGTCTCACAAATAAATAAGTAACCTGTCATTGTAAAATAGCAAAGGAGGGATTTTAAGACTCAGTAGCTCAAAGGAAGGAGAAAGCAGGGATCTGGTAAGAGGAAACGCAATTCTAATGTGACTTTTCTCCCTTCCACCAGTCTTCTTGGACATACACTGCTTCCAACTATGTACAGATAAAGCCATTCTCGGTGTGTGAGCTAATCCAGCATATAAGTCAAAGGCACTGCTTATGGATCCTTCCAGACTCACTCAGGCCCCTATGCCTGGAAGCCTCCTGCTCCCACAGTGCCCTGGCTCACACCCAACCCACTGTAAGGTACTGCTGGAGTCTTCCCTGATGAGACCCACAGGGGTGGGAACACTGAGGACGCATGTGTTCAGCCTTTATCACCACTGCAATCAATCACAGACTTCAGCGCAGCTTATCTGGGAGTAATTCACAATGGTTATGTGCTGTTTTTACAAATGAAAAACAGAAATACTTGATGGTAAGAGTTAAAAGATTTTCACCAGAAACCAACTACATAGATGATGTTAGGCAGAAGGCCCAGCCACAGAAATAAAGTGTAAAACACATGCGATAACTGAGTAACTTTTTCCAAAGCCCTCAACTGAAACGAACACTTCTGCTAACTCTGAGAGCCAACAGCAGAGAAACAGCACAGCTTCTAGGCTGTTCATCCTGCAGCATCCCAGCTCTACCAGCAACGGTAACAGTGAAAGCCACTAGCAATCATGAGACACGTTAACTCGTTTACATGAATGGATCGATTTCCTCCATACACAATAATCTGTAAGGGGAGACGTGTTACAGATGAGAGAAACTGGGAAAGACTCCAGTGTTTGCTCAGAGACACACACCAGAGAGTAACAGAGCTGGTCTTATTCAGGTGTCTGAGTATATATATCCTGTGGAGCCCCCACATGGTATGCCCCATAACCCATCCCGCCACCGAGGCAGCAACATGGAAAGACTGGAAGCAGAACAAGTTAGGTCTTTATGAACCGAGATAATACCACCAAACTCACAGGGCTGCTGTAAGAACAGAGAGCATCCCTAGACCAGAACCATCGGAAAGGCTGAGCTGTAGCTCAGACTGTGGTCTCTAACAAAGCAAACTGGTTTAAAATCTATGTTCATTCCTGACAAGGGCTGGGCCTTGCCTCTGGACCTGATAGGCTTAATTTTCTCTTTATTTTTAATAGGAAACTCGATATACATATATGAAATAATGCATGTCATGAAACAATCAAGTGTGCTCTGTGGTCATAAGAACTGCCCAGGGGCACACACCTGTGCCTACCACAGCTGGCCCCTGCATGGTGTCATTTACATCTGCAGTCTGTGTCTCTCATGCTCTTCTTCAAAATAGCTTTGTCATAAATATACATATCCCTAAGAAATACATAGTTGGTTTTGCTTGCTAATGAGCTTTATACAAATTGCAAGAGTTCTTTATGCTCTGGGTGGTGATCCTTTGTCTTTTCACTCTTTCTTATGGTAGCTTTGACAAATGGAACTATATTGTTCAGTCAATTTTATCATTCTGCTCCGTTAGGGAACATTTTGTGTCTTAAGAAATCTTTTCCTACCCCCAAGGTCATAAAGATAGTATCCTTAATCTCTAAATACCTAGAATCTAAATACCCTCCAAATAGGGCTCACTCCATCAGGATTTGATTCACCTGTATGGGCTTTTGCTACATGAATAACCATCTGTTCTGACTCCAGTGAGAAGAGTCATCCTCCCCACAGGGACCACGATGCCCCATCCTCTGTCCTGTATCAGAGCTGCACCGCCGGACTGAGGTCTCTACTGTGCTGCACTAGTTCAGCTACCTTCCTGCGCCAAGCCAGCTATACTGATAGCTGGTTTGATATAGCAGGGTTTGACTGCTTGTTGGGACAGTTGGCTCTGGCTTTTCTTGAATCCTGGAGAAAATGACAAATTTCTAAAATTGTTTTCCTCTTTTTTTTTCTCTGAGACAGAGTCTCACTCCGTCACTCAGGCTGGAGTGCAGTGGTGCAATCTCGGCTCACAGCAACCTCCACCTCCCAGGTTCAAGTGATTTCTGTGCCTCAGCCTCCTGAGTAGCTGAAATTGCATGAGGGTGCTACCACACCTGGTTAATTTTTGTATTTTCTAGAAGAGATGGGGTTTCGCCATGTTAGCTAGGCTGGTTTCGAACTCTTGACCTCAAATGATCTGTCTGCCATGGCCTCCCAAACTGCTAGGATTATAGGCATGAGAAACTGCACCTGGCCCCTAAAATCGTTTTATAATAAAAATGGCATATATACATTTTAGTAACTTTTAAGCAATCAAGAAATCTTTAAAATTTTCTCCATACAGGCCTTTTTTTTTTTTTGAGACGTAGTTTCACTCTTGTCCAGGCTAAAGTGTAATGCCGCAATCTTGGATCCAAGCAACCTCCACCTCTTGGGTTCAAGCAATTCTCCTGCCTCAGTCTCCCGTGTAGCTGGGATTAGAGGCCTGCACCAGCATGCCTGGCTAATTTTCTATTTTTAGTAGAGACAGGGTTTCTCTATGTTGGTTAGGCTGGTCTTGAACTCCTGACCTCAAGTGATCTGTGCTGCCTTGCTGGGATTACAGGCATGAGCCACTGCACTGGTCCCTTTTTTTTTGAAACTGTGTTTTGCTCTATTGCCCAGGTTGGAGTGCAGTGGCATTATCTTGGCTCACTACAACCTCCACCTCCTGGGTTCAAGCAATTCTCCTGCCTCACCCTCCCGAGTAGCTGGGACCACAGGCGTGTGCCACCACAACCAGTTAATTTTTGCATTTTTAGTAGAGACGGGGTTTCACCAGATTGGCCAGGCTGGTCTCAAACTCCTGACCTCAAGTGATCCACCTACTCGGCCTCCCATGATTACAAGTGTGAGCCACCATGCCTGGCCCATCATTTATGAACAATATTCTCAGCAATTTTTAAAATGTGTTGGTATTGAAAACCGTTATCTTTTTAAAATATATTATTTATGTAGAAATGCATATAGGTTTAAAAAATAAAATTGGCTTTTGTCACTGATCTTATATCCAGTCACCTTGCTAAACTTTTAATACTTCTAATAATTTGTAGATTCTTGTGGGTTTTCCATATGAATCTGATAATAACAGATTATTATTATTTTTTTGACAAGAGTCTTGCTCTATCATCCAGCCTGAAGTTCAGTGGCGTGATTTTAATTCACTACAACCTACGCATCCTGGGCTCAAATGATCCTCCCACCTTAGCCTGCTGAATAGCTGGGACTACAGCTGTGTGCCATTCTGCCTAGCTAATTTTTGTCTTTTTTGTTTTTCAAGATGGAGTTTCACTCTTGTTGCCCAGGCTGGAGTGCAATGGTGTGATCTCAGCTCACCGCAACCTCTGCCTCCCGGGTTCAAGCAATTCTCTTGCCTCAGCCTCCTGAGAAGCTGGGGTTAGAGGCATGCGCCACCACATTTGGCTAATTTTGTTTATTTTTGTAAAGATGAGGTTTCACCATGTTGCTCAGGCTGGTCTCAAAACTTCTGAGCTCAAGTGATCTGCTTCGCCTCTCAAAGTGCTGGGATTACAGGTGTGAGCCACCCTGCCTAGCTGACAGCTTTTCCCCCTTCCTTTCCAATGCCTTTGCCTTTTGTATTTCTTTGCCTTACTGTACTGAGTAGACCTTAGTATAATGTTGAATAAAAGTGATGACAGAAGGCATCCTTGTATTATTCCTGATTTAAAATCAATGTTTCTGGCTAGTCATGGTGGCTCATGCCTGTAGGAGGCTGGGGAAAGTGGATCACTTAAACCCAGGAGTTAAAGACCAGCTTGCGCAACATGGTGAAACCCGTCTTTATAAAAAATCAAATCAAATTAATCTTTCTAATATTTTACCATTACAACTCATGCTGCTAAATGGTTTGTTGTCGTTGTTGCTGGTTTCTTAAAGACAGGGACTCACTCTTGTCATCCAGGCTGGAATACAGTGGTGTTATCATGGCTCACTGCATCCTTGAACTTTCGGGCTCAAGTGATCCTCTGTCTCAGCCATCCAAGTAGCTAAGATTACACCTGGCTAATGTATAAATATTTTGTACAGACAGGGTCTTGTTTTCCCAGGCTAGTCTTGAACTCCTGGGCTCAAGTGATCCTCCCACTTCAGCCTCCCAAAGTGCTGGGATTATAAGAGTGAGCCACCACACCTGGCTTACGTTGCTAAAGGTTTAATGCTCTTTATCAATCGAGAAAGCTCCCTTTATTCATAATTTGTTAGGTTTTACTTTTTAATCAAGGATGCCATTAAATCAATTTCTCCTTTACAATTTATAGCGAAAACCCAATGTGAAGACTTTTTTTTTTTTTTTAAACAGGGCCAGATTAAATTTGCTAATATTTTGTGGGGGACTTTTGCATGTGACTTCATTTAGTGGGCTTGGCCTGTTATTTTTCTTTCTTATATATAGTTTTTTTGGTCTGGTTTTGGTACTGAATTTATAATGGTCTCCCAGAATGAGTTAGTATTAGCATTCTTTGTCTATTTTTAGAATTACTTGTATAAGTTTGGTAGCGTTTGGTTTGAGAAAACCATCTGGGCTTGATGTTAAATTTATGATGCTGTTTTAATTATTATTTCACATTCTTTAACAGTTGTGACTATTCAGTATTTTTTGGATCAGTTTCATTAAATTATTTTTTCCCTAGGAATTTTCCCATGTCATTCAGTTTTCAAATCTCTTTTGAAATTTTAAAGATGAGGTCTGGCCGTGTTGTCCAGGATGGAGTGCAGTGGCTATCCACAGGTACAATCTTAGCGAACTATAGCCTTGAACTCCTGGGCTTAACTGATCCTCCTGTCTTGCCTCCTGAGTAGCTGCAATTACAGGCACACACCACCACACCTAGGCAGTTTTTTTCTTTTTTGGAGATGAAGTCTTGCTCTGTTGCTCAGCCTGGAGTGCAGTGGTGTGATCTCAGCTCACTGCAACCTCTGCCTCCCAGGTTCAAACAATTCTCCTGCCTCAGCCTCCTGAGTAGCTGGGACTACTGATGCACACCACCACACTTAGCTAAGTCTCTGTATTTTAGTGGAGACGGGGTTTCACCGTGTTGCCCAGGATGGTCTCAAACTTCTGAGCTCAGGCAATCCACCTGCCTCAACCTCCCAAAGTGCTGGGATTACAGGCGTGAGCCACCACACCCAGATGCCTAGCCAGCTTTCATATTGATTAGTAAGAAATTGCTCATATAATTTTTTTTTTTTTGAGACTGAGTCTCAATTTGTAGCCCAGGCTGGAGTGCAGTGGTGTGATCTCGGCTCACTGCAACCTCCACCCCCACCAGGTCCTGCTTCAAGCAATTCTCCTGCCTCAGCCTCCTGAGTAGCTGGAATTATAGGTACGTGCAACCATGCACAGATAATTTTGTATTTTTAGTAGAGATGGAGTTTCACTATGTTGGCCAGGCTGTTCTTGAACTCCTGACCTCATGATCCATTCACTTCAGCCTCCCAAAGTGCTGGGATTACAGGCATGAGCCACTGCACCTGGTGCTCACAGAATTCTTTCATCTTTTTAATCTGTACACAACCTGTAATCGTGTCTCTCTCTTTTTTGTTTTTGGCAATAAAGTCTCGCCATGTCACCTAGGCTGGAGTGTGGTGGCACGATCTTGGCTCATTGCAATCTCTGCCTCTGGGGTTCAAACAATTCTCCTGCCTTAGCCTCCCAAGCAGCTGGGACTACAGGCACACACCACCATGCCTGGCTAAATCCTGTCTCTTTTTCATGTGTTTCTTTTGTTCTCAACAAACTGTGTCAGAAGCTTGCTTATATTTTATAGCAAAGCCAGGAATCCACTTCTGGGTTTACTGATGTTCCCCCTACTGTATCTGTTCCTTTCTGCCTGGTGTCTCAACAGCAGCGCTAATTGGCATCTGCCCTCTAGGTGACCAACCTCTTCCTTCTTGCCCACTGATACTAGAAATTACCCTAATTTCCTGCAAGCTCAGCACTGCATCCAAAAGCTCATTTTACCTAGGTATCCAGGATATAGTCATTTTGTAGTAAGAGGGTATCCCAGACAATCTAGTCTGTCATATATTCTCAATTCTCTCCAACTGTTTCTCAAGATTCAAAAATTATAAAAAGTTTGATTAGACTAGTCTTTCTGATTTATTAGGAACTAGTTATAAACATACATGTACACATTTTAGTACGCCTTCCCATCACTACTGTAGTCTGTATTCTTCTTCTCGACCAATTCCAATGTCCTCAGGACACCATTTACAATATAATCTTATTTCGTGTTATGTGCTGCAACGTTAAAAGGGCAAAATACAAATAAGTTTGTATTTGATAATTTTCTAAAAGAAATTTATTAAATAGTAAGATATAAAATGAGGCTGCCAGGTAAGAGTAGGTAAGGTAGAAAATCAGAAATATTTTAGTTTCTCTATGTGCTGAGAACAACATAGGAACTCAGAAAAATTGATTGATCCATTGAGAAGTCACAGAATGACCCAAGTCTTCACTATAAAATGTTTTTATTATTTATTCAGGAGATCCAAATAGTTTATTTATCCAAATAAACTCTTCTATTCCATTACTTTTTTTTTTTTTTAATCTTGAAAGCAGAAATAGAGAGAGAAAAGTACAATAAAATAATATGGTGCAGCACTACCCTGAAAAATTGATTCCAGAATGATTCCAAACTCACCTGATTTCTCATCTGCTTGGCATGCACTGTCTAAAACCTCCTGATCACCTTCCGCAGCAATGTATGCCCAAGTATCCGTTTCGTCTCTGGTGTTTCTCCTTTCTTTAAGTGACTGTTTGTTTTCCTTGGTTTTGTGATCATCTATGGTTTTTAAATCCAGTGGCATTTCTTCTCTTTTTCGATTATTCTCAGAAATATCATTTTTTTCTTCTGGTGTTAATTTTAATAAGTCAAATGCACTTCTGATTTCCTTAAGTGCTAATGAAAAAGTTAAAATTGATAGTTAAGTAAGAGTCACAAATTTCTGTTACACTCAAAAGAAAATCTAAGTTAGTGTTAAACCAAGAAGATATTTTCTTAATTTTTACAACCTCTACCTTGCTTATAAAGCCTGGTCTGATTTACTATCAAAGGCACAAAATCATTTCAACTGGTCTTTCTACTAGTTGCTCAGTATTCAGAAACGATGTCCAGTGTGAATGCTATTAAGCAGATGTTGTGAACTACTCAACTCCTGTTGTGACAAAGGCCTACTGAAGACAGTGAGCCAAAGAGTGATCCAAGTCTCACCAGCATCTTTCCCACTGCTAAAGACACCAGACTGTTTAATAGCTGGATCCTGAAACTTGTACCAAAATGGTTTCTGGTGGCAAGTGAGGGAAACAGCAGGGTGCCAGAGCACTGCCTGTGTACCTGGTAAACCTGTACCTGATGCTACTAGCCTTTAACTAAAGAAGAAAGTGGCAAAGAAAACTGGCAGGTACTAGACCTGATATAAGAAATAACCCCCAAGATACATTTTAGGGACAGCAATCCAAGATGGCCGAATAGGAACAGCTCAGGAGTGCAGTTCTCAGAGAGAACAATGCAGAAGGTGGGTGTTCACCACATTTCCAAACGAGTTATTACTGCCCACAGACCAGGAGATTACCATGCTGAAAAGCGCCAAGAGTTTCCTGCATGGCTGTTTCAGTCAGCACAGTTGGGTCTCTGCACAAAAAAATCACACAAAGCTGGGTGGCCATTTCAACTGGCGCCTGGAATGCCTGGGAGACAGAGCCACCCATTCAACTGAAAAAAAGGGGCTAAAACAGAGAGTCAGGTGATCTGGCTCAGCAGGTCCTACCCCCCACAAAGACCAGCAATCTGAAACACTCTGGAGTGAGAGTTTCGCAGCAAGTGCAGCTGGACCAGGGACAGTCCAGCTCTGCGGGGGAAGGGCGTCTGCCACTACCGAGGCAATCCGCCATTACTGAGGCAGTTCTAACCATACCTCCATAAACAAAACCACAAGGAAGTTCACACAGCAGCTGGACAGAGTCCACAGCAGCTCAGCAATGCCTCTGCTGGCAGACTGTGCCTAGGCTATCCCCTCGCTGGGCAGGGCATCTCTGAAAAAAGGCAGCGGCACATCAGGAACTTATAAATAAAGTCCCACCTTCTCAGGACAGAGCACTTGGGGAAAAAGGCGGTTATGAGTTCCATTGCAGCAGACTTAAACGTACCTACCCGGCAGCTCTGAATGAAACAACAGAGCTCACAGCTCAGCACTTGAGCTCCTATAAGGGTCAGACTGCCTCCTCAAGCAGCTCCCTGATCCCCGTATACCCAAAGAGACACCTCATAAAGGAGAGCTCAGGCTGACATCTGGCTGGTATCCTTTTGGGATGAAGATAACAGAAGAAGAAACTGGCAGAAACCCTTAATGTTCTGCAGCTGCAGCAGGTGATCCCCAGGCAAGCAGGGTCTGGAGTGGACCTCCAGCAGCCCTACAGCAGAGGGGCCTGATTGTTAGAAGGAAAACTAAAAACAGAAAGAAACAACTTCATTATAAAGAAAAAGGACGTCCACTCAGTGACCCCATCTGAAAGTCACCAATTACAAAGACCACAGGTAGCTAAATCCCCAAAGATGAAAAGAAACCAGCAAAAAAAGGATGAAAACACCCAAAACCAGAACAACTCTCCTCCTCCAAGGGATCACAACTCCTCACCAGCAAGGGAACAAAGCTGGATCAAGAATGAGTCTGATGAATTGACAGAAACAGGCTTCAAAAGGTGCGTAATAACAAACTTCTCTGAGCTAAAAGAACATGTTCTAACCCAATGCAAAGAAACTAAGAACCCTGAAAAAAGGTTTGACAAAATATTAATGAGAATATACAGCTTAGAGACGAATATAAATGACCTGATGGAGCTGAAAAACACAACACGAGAATTTTGAGAAGCATACATAAGTCTCAATAGCCGAATCGACCAAGCAGAAGAAAGGATATCAGAGATTGAAGATCAACTCAATGAAATAAAACAAGAAGGCAAGATTAGAGAATAGTGAAAAGAAATGAACAAAACCTCCAAGAAATATGGGATTATGTGAAAAGACCTAATCTACATTTGATAGATGTACCTGAATGTGATGGAGAGAATGAATTCAAGCTGGAAAACACTCTTCAGGATATTATCCAGGAAAACTTCCCCAACCTAGCAAGGTAGGCCAATATTCAAGTCCAGGAAATACAGAGAACATCACAAAGATATTCCTCAAGAAGAGCAACCCCAAGGCACATAATCTTCAGATTCACCAGGGTTAAATTAAGGAAAAAATGCTAAGGGCAGCCAGAGAGAAAGGTCGGGTTACCCACAAAGGGAAGCCCATCAGACTCACAGGAGATCTCTCGGCAGAGACCCTACAAGCCAGAAGAGAGTGGGGGCCAATATTCAACATCCTTAAAGAAAAGAACTTTCAACCTAGAATTTCATATCCAGCCAAACTAAGCTTCATAAACGAAGGAGAAATAAAATCCTTTACGGACAAGCAATTGCTGAGAGATTTCGTCACCACCAGGCCTGCCTTACAAGAGCTCCCGAAAGACGTACTAAACATAGAAAGGAACAACCAGTACCAGCCACTCCAAAAATGTACTAAATAGTAAACAGCATCGACACAATGAAGAAACTGTGTCAACTAATGGGCAAAACAACCAGCTAGCAACAAAATGGCAGAATCAAATTCACACATTATAATATTAACCTTAAATGTAAATGGGCTAAATGCCCCAATCAAAAGACACAGACTGGCAAATTGGATAAAAAGTCAGAAACCACTGGTGTGCTATATCCAGGAAACCCATCTCACATGCAAGGACATATATACGGTCAAAATAAAGGGATGGAGGAAGATATACCAAGCAAATAGAGAGCAAAAAAAAAAAGTAGGACTTGCAATCCTAGTCTCTGAAAAAATAGATGTTAAACCAACAAACTTCAAAAGAGACAAAAGAGGCATTACATAATGGTAAAAAGAACAATGCAACAAGAAGAGCTAACAATACTAAATATATACGCACCCAATACAGGAACACCCAGATACATAAAGCAAGTTCTTAACCTACAAAGAGACTTAGACTCCCATACAATAATAGTAGGAGACTTTAACACCCACTGTCAATATTAGACAGATCAACGAGACAGAAAATTAACAAGGATATCCAGGACTTGAACTCAGACCTGGACCAAGCAAACCTAATAGACATCTACAGAACTCTCCACCTCCAATCCATAGAATATAAATTCTTCTCAGCACCACATCACACCTACTCTTAAAACTGACCACATACCTGGAAGTAAATCACTCCTCAGCAAATGCAAAAGAACAGAAATCATAACAAACAGTGACCACAGTGCAATCAAATTAGAATTCAAGATTAAGAAACTAACTCAGAACCATACAACTTCATGGAAACTGAACAACTGGCTCTTAAATGTTGACTGGATAAACAATGAAATGAAGGCAGAAATAAAGTTGTTCTATAAAACCAATGAAAACAAAGATAAGACGTACCAGAATCTCTGGGACACATTTAAAGCAATGTCTAGAGGAAAATTTATGGCAATAAATGCCCAAATGAGAAGCAAGGAAAGATCTAAAATCAACACCCTATCATCAAAATTGAAAGAGCTAGAGGAGCATGACCAAAAAAACTTAAAAGCTAGCAGAAGACAAGAAATAACTAAGATCAGAGCAGAACTGAAGGAGATAGAGACACAAAAACCCTTCAAAAAATCAATAAATCCAGGAGCTGCTTTTTTGAAAAGATCAACAAAATAGACCACTAGCCAGATTAATAAAAACGAAAAGCGAGAAGAATCAAATAGATGCAATAAAAAACCATAAAGGGGATATCACCACCAATTCCACAGAAATACAAACTACCATCATAGATTACTACAACATCTCTATGCACATAAACCAGTAAACCTGGAAGAAACTGATACATTCCTGGACACTGGCACCCTCCTAAGTCTAAACCAGGAAGAAGTTGAAACCCTGAATAGACCAACAACAAGGCCTGAAATTGAGGCAGCAATTAACAGCCTACCAACAACAACAACAACAAAAAAACTCAGGTCCAGAAGGGTTCACAGCCAAATTTTACCAGATATACAAAGAGGAGTTGGTACCACTCCTTCTGAAACGATTCCAAACAATCCAAAAAGAGGGAATCCTTCCCAAATCATTTTATGAGATCAACATCATCCTGAAACCAAAACTTGGTAGAGACTCAACAAAAAAAGAAAACTTCAGACCAATATCCATGATAAACATAGATGCAAAAATCTTCAACAAAATATTGACAAACTGAATGCAACAGCACATCAATAAGCTTACCCATCACAGTCAAGTAGGCTTCATCCTGGGGATGGCAAGGCTGGTTCAATATACCCAAATCTATAAACATAATCCACCACATAAACAGAACCAGAGACAAAAACCACGATTATCTCAATAGATGCAGAGAAGGCCTTTGACAAAATTCAACAGCGCTTTATGCTAAACACTCTCAATAAACTAGGTATCGATGGAACGTATCTCAAAATGATAAAAGCTATTTATGACAAACCCACAGCCAATATCATACTGAATAGACAAAAACTGGAAGCATTCCTTTTGAAATCTGGCACTAGACAAGGATACCCTCTCTCACCACACCTATTCAATATAGTATTGGAAGTTCTAGCCAGAGCAATTATGCAAGAAAAAGAAATAAAGGGTATTCAATTAGGAAAGGAGGAAGTCAAATAGTCTCTATTTGCAGATGACATGATTGTGTATTTAGAAGACTCCACCGTCTCAGCCCAAAATCTCCTGAAACTGATAAGCAACTGCAGCAAAGTCTCAGGGTACAAAATCAATGTGCAGAAATCACAAGCATTCCTATACACCAATAACAGACTTAAAGAGAGCCAAATCAAGAACGA